GGTCACGCCGCGACCCTCGACCAAACGGCAACGCCCGCCCGCTCGTGTCGAGATTCGACTTGGCAGCGAGCGAGATTACCGGTCGGAAAAAGTTGGAGAAAACAAGACGAGGGATAATCAGGCCGGTTACAAATTAGAGCGGAGTGAGTCGATTATCTCGCGTGGGCGAGAGAGATATCGTGATTCTTCTGCATTTCGATGCGCGTGAAACGACCAAGTCCAGATATTCTCTCGAGAAAGGCGTCGTAGCTAGAAAGTCTTTCTTCTTTTCTTTCTTCTTCTTCTTCTTCTTCTTCTTTTTCCTTTTCCATTTTTTGCTTCGAAATAAAATTCCACGCGACTCGATCCATGAAAAATGGTAACGCTACGACGACGACGACGAGCATGTATTATTTATACGACGCTTTCTACGAGCAAGCTAACTAACTACTACCACGCCTACCTACCGCTTCTCTTTCTTTCTCCCCGAGAAGACGGGAAAGAAGACGGGGCGGAAAGACGGTTGCAATTCTTACGGAATTACGATTCTTCGGATCGGTCGATTCGGTCGAATTGGACCGAGGAGATGAGAAACGGTCTTCCTAAACGACGGCGGGAGGATCGATGGAAGGATCGTCCCAGAGAGAACCACTACGTCACATCACGCCGGGCGGAGGACGACGAATCGTTGCTCTCCCCGCTCTCTCCACCCATATTTAAATATCGGTGATTCTGTGACGTAGTGGCGTTCCCTGCGACGAAGCAACGAGCATCTTCATGGACGAGGCGGGGGACTTGCGGTGCCCGCTCGGGGATGGGAAAAAGCGAAGAGTTTCTTTCTTCCCTTCGCGGGAAACTTGGCTCCGGCGATCACTCTGAAAGTAGTCCCAGACAGCGTCTTCTTGAGAAAAAGGAAAAAGAAAAAAAGTAGAAGAAGAAGAGGAAAGAAACGGGGAGAGAAAGAGAGAACGAAAAATTGGGCGAAGAGAGCGAAGAGGACAAAAAAAGTGTCGTTTAGAAAAGAAATTACGAATAGGAATAGAAAGAGAAAGAGGAAAAAAAAAGTCGTACTAATCGTTTCGAGACATCGTTGGGTTTCGCGTGTTTCGTTTCACAAGGGGATAGAAGAAAGAAGAGAATTAAATTATTTTATTTGGATCGAGGCGAGTTCGAAAGCGCGGCTAATTTAGATTTGCGGCCACGTTCGGCGATACGCGAGCGTGATGGAGGGGGAAGAGGACGAGGAGTGGGGAGGTATAGTAGAGCAGCACGCGTTCCTCGCGAGGCCGAGCGTAAGATGTAAACGAGAGCCACAACGTACAATCTCCGGTAATAAGTGCGACTGGCGCGCTTGCCCTGGTATGCGAACGAGTGTGTACACGCCTACATTTAGAGATTCGAGATTCTGCGGCGAGAGATCTTCTCTTCTCTCCAAACGCATCCTGTCTACGATCCTACGCGTTTCTAATGATCCCGGGTCTCTGGAACTGATCGAGGAGACGATCGTGGATAAAAAAAAAAAAAAAAAAAAATAAAATTCGTTCGAGAGGTATTCGTTGATGCGATCCGCTCTGAAATAAAAAGGTTTGGTTTTCGAGTGGGTGACGACGTTTTTTCCGCTTTCGAGATCGGAATTTGCATCGAGGAAAAACGGGGGCAAGAGAGAGATTTTTTTTTTCTCGATAATTCGAGAAGGAGAAAGGAGATCCCGCGTTCGAAATTTTCGCGTAATTACGAGACGATTATTTCCGTTCGTCGCGGATAATAAAAAGACACTCGCTTCAACCCGATTTCTCGAAAACAGCGTGGAAAAAACGCGTGCCCGTTTTCGATCGTAAACCGGCGACCGGTGAGTTGTAACCACAACCGTTTCTCTTTCTTGAACTTTGTAACTTTGTACTTTGCACTCGTGATTTCGAAGCTTTAATCGGCACGCGAGAATAAATTCGATACGATTTC